GTTTTGAGAGTATTTCGGATTTCCAAAACGATTATCCCTCTGATCCCTTCTTTGTCCGCTAGTAGTGACAGCTGCCACCTGTGCTGTTTGATTGTGATTTTTCACAAACATTTCCTCGTTCAACTGATCCATTTCCAAAGCTCGTACTCTGTCAAGCAGATCTCCAAGCTCACCTCCCTTCCGTAGAATCTTTCTTGCTGTTTCACGAACCTTGCGATTAAGAGCGTGAGATTGAATTGAGTCTGCTACATGTTCTGCCAAATTATCCTCATTAAAATCGCATAGTTTTGCTACTGCTATGACCCGTTTGATGTATTTAACATCCGTTTCTCCAGGTTTTTGGTTCAGTGATCTCATCTTCTGTCGCTGCGTGAAAATGTAGTCACGTGAACCGAAGAATGATGCCAGTCGGTGTATCGCGTTAGAATAGGGAGTGGATTTGGCATCCGGGCACTCAAGGCTCGACACTGTTTCGTCAAGAATCTCCAGCAGCTTGGTACCGGCTTTAATCTTGAATATGTTTATTTTTGTTGCCTCGTCAATTACTCCTGCCAGCTGCATTGATGCCTCCAACAGACCTTTCCACTGCTCATAGGTTTTGCGATCAATTTCATCGTCATCACCAACCGGTTTGCATTCTGGTACTTGAAGGGACGCGAATGATAAGTTGCTCATTGAAGACATGAGAATGGAGTTCTGATCGTTTGTTGTATTATCTTCGTGCATAGTTGAATGCATTCGCACGAAACTGCCTTCTTCCAGAGATTGTTCGAGTTGTTTCTTGTCATTTCGAGCCTTTCTTAGCTTTATTCTCAAAGATGTGTTCTGTTCTCTCTCTTCTTCAAGTTCCTTTGATAATGTTAATACATCTTTTATAGATGATCTCGTTTTCCTATAAAAAAAATACATACGTAATGTTTAAAATCATACTTTATTTTATATTATTTTTTTTTTTTACTTCTTATACATTCCGTAACAATGCTTTTTTTTCCGTTTTAGGCTCAGGACAATCAATTCGTTGCTTATGGTAACATTTCAGTTTTTAAAACGTAAATTAATTAATTAGCCCAACAGGCTCTTAATACACACCATAGGATCAAGGTTACTCGACCATTTGAAGGACCATCATTTCAGGTCGTTTAATTTTACATTATAATCAATTTTTTATTCATTAAACAATTACTCTAATAATCCACACCCCGTACTGATAACTAATTTAATAAGTTTTCCAGGCTCTTAGTAAACAGCAAAGAATATGAACCACAGAGTAATTTGATGGACCAACATTTCAGTTTTACTTATATTACATTATTAGATGTTTAATAATCCATTTTTTTTGCTTCAAAATAATGACTCTCATAATCCAAACTCATCATTGCTAACTAATTTAACGAGCTTACAAGGCTCTTAGTACACAGCATGAATTGGAACTACCGAGTCATTTTGAGGACCAACATTTCACTGCGGAACATACCAAATACTTGAAAGTTAGACTCATTTTGGAGCTCGTTATCCTACATAGAGCATTTTTAAATGTATCGTCCACTTCGGAACGCATAAGCTTCCTTGTTTCATCCAATCGGATCAAGTGCCCAGTTCGGAACGCACCAACCTACTTAGAGGTTATATTTAGTTTTGTCAGATCCTATCTGATCTATTGTTCACTACGGAACACTTTAATCAACTCGGAAATTTTGATTTTGATTATTTTAATCTAACCGATTCAAATGTCCACTGCGGAACATATGTATCTACTACACTTTTCATCGAATCTAGCGTCCACTTCAGAACGAGTAAGCTTCCCTTGTTCAATCCAATCGGTTGTAGCGTACTTTTCGGATCAACCTACTCAAAGGTTATATTTACGTTTGTCAGACCCTATCAGATCTGTTGTCCACTACGGAACGCTTTTTTTTTTTTTATCGATTCCAATGTCCACTGCGGAACATATCAACTACACTTCACATCGAATTTATTGTCCGCTACGGAATGCTTTAGCCAAGTTGGAAGATTCTTTTGATTTTATTCAGCGGAATCAAATGATCACGATGGAACATATAATTTTTAAAGTTAGAATAATTCTTTATATTATTCAGTCGGATCAAGAGTCCGCTTATAAACTTTTTTCTTACATCTTGTTTTTTTTTTACGAGAATGCCGCCATTTTGATAATGAAGCGAGAAAAAAAATGTTCGGGTACATGGAATTTCTATTTGCTGCATTTTTTTTATTTCAGCTGTTATTCGTGATCGATTATAATAAATATGTTCAAATTCTTTTATTTTCACTAACCTTCCAATGGGAGCGTTTTCGGTGTCCCCGACCGTGCCATTGTCGGATTTCTCGCCTCTCTTCATTTTGTTCGCTGTTTTCGATCGACTCATTACTACAATAGTCTGAAAACTGATCCTATTTTTCTATTTTTTTACAACGGCTTGCTGAGATCTCAGAAATATTTTTTTTAGCATCTGCTTCGAAATTGAAAAGCATTCTAACCAATTTATTTTTGACTTTTCAAAAGGGAGTAAACTTAAATCTTTTACATATTTTTAGTTTGCTATATAATCTACTAGAACTGCATTGGTATTTCTCAATTTATTTTGTTATTTGTTTGCTGATTATTATTATTTATGTATTTATTATCATTTGTATTTATATTTATATATAATTATTTATAGATGTATATTTTTTATTATTATTTGTATTTGAATTCATATTTAATTATTTATATATTTCTCTCATGCCTACATATTTCTCCTCCTCTACTCTGTTCAAGCTATTATTAAATATGTAAGATCATTAATTTTTAGCTGAATATTTAAAATACTATTTATAAAAATTATTACAACATTAAAAAATATCACAAAAAGTCTACAAACATTCAAATAGTATTTTAAATATTCAGCTAAAAATTAATGATCATACATATTTAATAAGAGCTAGAACAGAGTAGAGGGGGAGAAATATGTAGGCATGAGAGAAATATATAAATAATTAAATATGAATTCAAATACAAATAATAATAAAAAATATACATCTATAAATAATTATACATAAATATAAATACAAATAATAATAAATATATAAATAATAATAATCAGCAAACAAATAACAAAATAAATTGAGAAATACCAATGCAGTTCTAGTAGATTATATAGCAAACTAAAAATATGTAAAAGATTTAAGTTTACTCCCTTTTGAAAAGTCGAAAATAAATAGGTTAGAATTTAAAAAACCAATGAAAAGTGTTATTCATATTTAATTATTTATATATTTCTCTCATGCCTACAATGATGAAGATGTTGAGGAGGATTTTGAGAACGAAGATGGTATCGTGGACACAATGAATTTAGGATATCGTATTCAGGTACCTCATTTGTTTTGATTTTATGCATTTAAGGGTTGTAAAACAGTAATTTTGGCGTTACCTTGAAGCAGGTCTGAAAAAACATGAAAATGTTCCGCACATCTCCGATAAAGAATACTTTACTGCAAGAAAAAATAACTTTGCTGAACGTGAAAACACTCTGGGATAGTACCAAAGTCATGTATGAGCGATTTATTAAGGTATGGGAATGTATCAAAGATGCGCTTTCACTGCTTGGCCACGATCATTTTTTGACAAAGAAAATTATACGCAATCTGCTTAACACCTTGCAGCCCATAAGACTGACATCGGAGGCTCTCGGTCACCGCGATGCTGCTGACTGCTTCTGACTGCTGAGGGAAGCCTGAGCTTCCTTATTAATAAGCTGAAAAAGTTGGACAGTCCAATTTCCAAGGAAATGTATGATGCGCTCCTCATTTGTGTCCGTTAGGAAGTTCCTGAATAATAACAATCTGGCATCCAGCACAGAGCTACTAGCTCTGACCAGAAAACAGCTTTTCAAGTCTAGTTTCAAGCTCATAATGGGATGTTTACATCTGTGCGAATTTTCTAGCGCTAGGTTACTAGCCTACTAGCACGAATTTCAGTTGCACCTGAAATCTCATGCATACTAAGGAGCATTTGCAAATGCTTAATGTACAGTTTTGTCTATTTTAGAGAGCGTACTTTAAATATTTACTGAGCATATTAAGATTTTTAACGTATTTTGATCAATCATTTAAGGAGCAATAATCTATTTTAAGGAGAGATTTTTTACTTATTAAGGATAATTTCATCTGTTATATTGAGCAAAAGTAGGGCTGCCAGATAAAATCGATAAATAGCAGATTTTTAGTGATCCATTCCATTTTTTTAGAACATTTGAGCCATTTACCCTATGTGTTAAATTAGAATCAAGTAACTGAGCCTTTATAATCATATCGTCCCAGCTTGCCAAATAATTCTTCAATTCTCGACAGAACGACCAAAACAAATCTGAGAAGTGTGAGGCATGCTTAAAGTAAGAGCCGAAGTAACCCCAAACTGTGTTTATCGTCGAGCACTGTACAGCAGGTCAAGTCTCAACGTAAGTCGCAGTATTATGTAGAGTAAGACAAGTAAGTAAGTAAAGGACAAACCCGGCGTTTATCACGTACTCTATCTCAGGTGCATTAAATCAACCGATAATCAGCATTGAATCAAATTCAGATTTAGAGTGATCCAAATAATACAACACAATGGTATCAAAATAATTGTTCCTCAACTTCTTCTTGAATCCTCAACGTTTGACCTCGATTTATTCGCTGGTCGGTAGCAAATTGACCAAGTTTCTGCACCTTAAATTGTGCAATTTACGTTTAATCCCCGAAAGCCCCCCCTCTTCCAAGAACCAGGTGAACCGGGTGTGGGAACGACCGAATCCAAGAACGGTTCGTCTGCATCGCACATGACGAAATCCTAAATTACACGCTCCGTACGTACAAATTTGGTCTACCGCACATCTCAACAACGCACACGGTCGTCCTGGGTAGGAGGAGGTAGCTATACTGACTGACTGCCTCGTAGAACCTTATCTCGATTATCCCCGACCAAACAAATAAAATTACTCCTGGTGTTGTTTTGAAATAGACAGTCAAGTGATGGCAGTGATCACAATGCACTGCAACCAGCGGGTTTTGTGCCAGGGCAGGAAAACGTTGGGGTAGATGGGGGAGGGAGCGTTCAAGTCCTTGCGGTTGCTGTTGGCGCGGAAGGTAAGGACTCTCTTCTTCGCTGCAGACAATCGGTTTTCCACGCAGTCACACTCGCAGCCAGTGCCCGTCATCATCTCGTTGTGTTTCGCAGGTTCAATTTTGCTTAAATGTTTCAATCCACGTTCGGGTAGTTTGCTCTCTTTGGTGCACTTTGCTGCTTCTGTTTTTCGGAGTGGGATACTTTTGCTCGTGAGGACCGGGATAAGAGAACGAGGGGTGTATGATAGAGCGATAAATATGCAAAAACATCATTTGATCAGCACAGTTTTGCAATTTTCAGCATTTCTTAAGGACAGAAACAATTTTTCAACAATTGAATGCAGTGAATCAATTACCAACCAATTCGTCCAGCATTTGCAAACAATCTATCAACCCCCCGGGGCAGCGCAGTGATGAAAAGAAACAATCCCACACTTCACCCGCCGAGCACCAGGAATCGTTTAACTCACTTTCATTTGTGAGTTGTTGGTGGTGAACGAACACACTGCTCCGGCTGCTGCTGTTCCAAAGTGCGGAATGTGTTTACTTTCGATTATTGTTTCGTACACCAACCACCCCGTCGGTAAAGCCAGCCACAGTTGGCGGCTTAGTCTGGTCGCTCGGTCAGATTGGATGTTCGGCCCAATTACACCCCAAGTTTTCCAGCCAACACTCTGTATATACGAAAGCCATCAACTCAACCCAAGCGTGGACTGACGAACGGACGGACGGTAATCTGCATGCGATGTTCTGGAACTAGTCTCTCCGGAGCTAAACAACACCGTGTTGGGCATCCCTGCCACCGCCAGTCGCCACCCGCAGCCAGGAGCGCTTGCCATTGCTGTTATTGTTGCATGCATCAGCTCGAAGTCAAAGCCACAGCGAGGAGAGTCCTTTTGTAGATATGCAAAAAGAGTAATTTGGCTGAAGACCGTGATGTTTGTGCCGTGTGTTGCCGAGTTGAGATTATCTGCTGTCTGCTAAGCGGGTCTGATTCGAACTCAAGGTAGGTAACGTTGGGAAGGGGCCCCGTTTTGCAATCCACCCGAGACCCCGGGTACCGAGAGCGATAATAGCTTTTAAATTATTTTGTACGTAAAAAATAAGAAAATAATGCTGCACTGATGGATGAAATTATTTCTCGCTCGTTGTTGTAGATTTTTCTGCCCATTCCACCTCGTTCGATTCGTCGGCATCGCTCTCGAACTCGTCGAAATCCTAAACGAAAATATTTAAATGCAAATGGTTTAAAATGTATCTACACGAGAATTAGATGTTATTATGCTGTCATGTCATAGCGGATGATTATTTTCCCTTTCTGTTCTGTCTCCCGGAGTATCGCGATGAGAGAAGGGCAGCCCTCTGTGCCTCTGTGGTTGATGTACTCGGCGTACAAATGACGAGGTAAGCGGCAGTATCAGCCATCAAGTAGGTATCTGATGATTTAGTTCTGGGAGATTGGTACCGTACTTGGTACGTCGTCGTCACGTGCAAAAATCACGAACGGTGACCGTGAGCTGGATATGGCATCCCTCTGCTGGTGGGTTGATTATAGAACACGAGCCTGGTTCTAGATCTGGGCGAATGACGTGCACCTTGACTGTACCGGAGTAATGACACTGGGTGATTTTAGTCGGATTGGCGGGAGCATTGTATTTACTTTTCGATGATGTATGGTTTAGATTGTTTGGCTTATGGAGGTTTGATCAGGAAGCTACGATGTGTTGCACATTTGATCAAACGTTCCTTATGATGAACTTGAGCTTGATTTTTTATCTTTTCCTTTTTTCATAAGTCTCAACTGTAACTTGGATACCTTTTATACAAGTGAGCAGTGCTGCAAAATATCAATATCAATACCTACAAAATGCTGATTTTCACCAGCCACCTGATGTCAGTATCAGTTTACACAGTTAAAATATCAATATCATTCGCCTCAATGTCAGTGCGTAAATGATATTGACATCGTGAAGGGAACAATGATATTCAAAGTTCTGCCGCAAATGTTTCTTATATACGCCAGCTAATCGAGGAACGATCTTTAGAAAACTCATTAGTATTATTGAAACAATGCAACGGTTATACAAATGATCTCTCCATGAAACAGGCTATTCAAGGAGTTCCAGATCAACTTCGACCTATCTCAATTCCCTGTATGTTTGCTGAAAAGTACCAACAAGTCAATTGCAATAGAAGATTTTTCACTGATGGATCACGCATTGATGGATCCACTACACAGTGGTCCAGGAGGGTTTTTACAGGTAAACACTAAAAAAATGCATAAAGATGCAGTGTAATCAAGTTGGTGTCTTCAGACAAGGTTAAACTTGAAAAAGGCGCATACGATGAAGGGGTCGTCCAAAATTTAAATACCATAGGACAAAAAATAAAATTTCTAACTTTTTTTCTATGCGGTTTAGAAAAATAAAATGTTCCACAAAGTTGTAGATCTTATCATTTCATTTAATGGTTTAAATCGTCGTTTTCATTGAGATATGAAGTATTTATTAAGGGAAAGGTCCCTTCAAATCGTTTTTTCAACCATAATTTTTTATTTGAGTTTTTCATAGCATACTATGTTTAAAAGAGTTTTTTTTATTTACCAAAACAAGAAACTTTCTAGAATACTTCAACACGCTACCTCACAAATGCAACATGTTAAGAGCGTTTATGTGTTCAAAACATGCGATATTACTTGATACTTGATGGGCTACGAATCGCCAGGTTGATTCAACGCCGAACGAAGTACTCTTCTCCATTGGACTCGGTCCTGAGCCAATCGCTTCCAGTCGCCATGAACGTTTAGCGACCTGATGTCCTCCTCAACTGCAAATAGCCAACGTGTCCGAGGTCTACCCCGGAGTCGACGACCTCTACCGGGTTCTCTGCTGAATATAATATTTGCTTGTCGTTCTTCCGGCATCCGCACTACATGCCCAGCCCACCGTAGACTGCCGTGTTTTATAAGCTTCACTATATCCGTACCGTTATACACTTGGTACAACTCGTGATTCATGCGACGCCGCCAGATGCCATTCTCCTGTTTACCGCCGAGTATTGTTCGCAGCACCTTACGCTCGAAGACACCAAATGCTCTCCGGTCAGACTCTTTTAACGTCCACGATTCGTGGCCGTAGAGGGCTACCGGAAGTATCAGCGTCTTATACAGAGCGAATTTCGTTTTCGTTTGCAGGCTACGGGACTTCAGCTGGCTACGTAATCCGTAAAAGGCCCTGTTTGCAGCTGCAATACGTCTCTTCACCTCGCGGGTAACATCATTATCGCATGTCACTAGTGTTCCAAGATACACAAATTCTTCCACTACCTCAAATTGTTCACCATCTAACAACACTACACTACCAACACCACTATTGCTCCCACGCTGTCTACCGGCTACCATGTACTTCGTTTTGGTAGAACTTATCGTGAGCCCAATCCTCGCCGTCTCCCTCTTAAAAGGCACAAACGCCTCTTCCACTGCTCTACGGTCAATTCCGATGATATCGATGTCGTCCGCAAAGGCAAGGAGCATGTACGATCGTGTGATGATGGTACCGTTCCTCTGCACACCAGCTCTCCTAATCGCTCCTTCAAGAGCAATGTTGAACTGTAAGTTTGAAAGTGCATCACCCTGCTTCAATCCATCTAAGGTCACGAACGAGGTCGAAATCTCATCTGCAACCCTTACACTTGATTTCGATCCATCTAGCGTTGCGCGAATCAGTCTAATTAGTTTCGCCGGAAAACCATGTTCTAGCATAATCTGCCAAAGCTCATTTCTCTTCACTGAATCGTATGCTGCTTTGAAATCAATAAACAGATGGTGAGTCTGCAAGTTGTACTCCCGGAATTTATCAAGGATTTGACGCAGGGTAAACATTTGATCCGTCGTTGATCGGCCCTCACGAAAACCAGCCTGGTATTCACCGACGTCAAGCGGTCTCAATCTGTTAAACAGAACGCGTGACAGTATTTTGTACGCCGAATTCAGAAGAGTTATTCCTCGATAATTGGCGCACTCGAGTCTGTGCCCTTTTTTGAATAATGGGCAAATGAGGCCATCCAACCAGCTAGCAGGCAGTTCTTCGTCCTCCCATATCTTCGTTAGAATACGGTGGATTGCTTGATGCAGCTGCTCACTTCCGTGTTTGAAAAGTTCGGCCGGGAGCTCGTCCTTCCCAGCAGCCTTATTGTTTTTCAGCTCACGTATTGCCTTTTTAACCTCGTCTAGCGTTGGAGGCTCCACAGCTTGATCGTCGTCTGCGATGTTTACTCTGTTCCTCGATACTCCCTCACTCTCTCCATTCAACAATGTCTCAAAATGTTCTTTCCACCTGGCAGCCACCATTGTTTTATCTGTCAGCAAATTCCCCTCAAGGTCATTGCACATGGCGGGAGATGGCGCTGTTTTACTCCGCACACCATTGACAGTCGCGTAGAACCTTCGCATATCGTTCTGTTCCATACTTTCCAACACCTTCTACTGACAAGCGATGGATATTGAAACGCATCGATCTCCGGTTCGTTGAATTCGTAACGGTCGATAGACGCGCCCGAATTTTGCAGACAACAAGATAATGATCTGAGTCAATGTTAGGCCCCCTAAAAGTCCTTACATCAATGACATCTGAGAAGTGCCGGCCATCCACCAACATGTGATCGATCTGGGTGCAAGTTTCGCCATTTGGGTGTCTCCAGGTGTGCTTTCGGATATTCTTGCGTGCAAAGTAGGTGCTACTGATGGCCATACCTCTAGCAGCGGCGAAGTTTATCAGTTTCAGTCCGTTATCATTGGTTACTGTATGTAGGCTCTCTGTACCAATGATTGGACGAAAGAAATCTTCCCTCCCGACCTGCGCATTTTCATCTCCGATTACAATCTTCACGTCGTGTTTTGGGCACTCATCATAAGTTTTATCGAGACTGTCATAAAACGCGTCCTTCACGTCATCGGATTTATCGTTGGTTGGCGCATAGATGTTGATCAGGCTGTAGTTGAAGAATTTGCCCCGAATCCTTAATACACAGATGCGGTCGCTTACCGGTCTCCACCGCATAACACGCTTCATCTGCTTCCCGATCACTATGAACCCTACTCCATGTTCTGCCCTATCGCCACCGCTGTGATAGATATGATACTTGAAGGAAGTGTTGGCGATGGGATCCACCGCCCGGAATTCACGTTCTCCGGATCTAGGCCACCGTACTTCCTGAATAGCAGCTACGCTCACATTCACTTTTTGCAGTTCACGAGCCAAAAGGCCCGCTCGTCCAGGTTCATTTAAGGTTCTGACATTCCAAGTACCGAGTTTCCATTCATTGTCCTTATTTCGTTGCCGGGTCGGTTGCCGAAAATTCCGTTCGTTGTTTTCTCTTTCTTCGTTTTTCTGAGTAATGTTGGGGGTTTCAGTATGCTACCTTACCGGGGTCGCGATACCTACATCATGTTGGTGGGGCTGCCACCTTAGGTGTAGCTGACGTGATACAGCATTTCTTATTCAGCCGCTCGCTCCGAGACAGACGCTGTTTGAGCCGCACCTCCATGGTGAACAGACGCTCGAGGGTCGCACCTCCTCACTTTGCTATCACCACGATCCGGATCCATGTTTTTATCGTGGTGACATTGCCCAGGCTACGCTACCAGCATCTTTTGCTGGCGGTCTTTGTCATCGGCTGACCCGTGGAAGCGTGAGGTAGGTACTTGTGAGGACCAGAGCTGTTGGGACAACACTCCTTCCAGTTTGTCGACTCACCATTTGTAGCCCACATGCGATATTACGGTGGCTAATTTGCAAATTGGGGCAACCAGTTTTTTAAACTAATGACGTGATCGTGATCGTGATCGCCACATCTTGCTGGACCTTATTAATGAATCATTGCAAACTGGACATGTGCCACAAATTTGGAAGGAATCCTTAGTGGTCCCTATTCAAAAAATTGCTGGAACGCTTAAAGCCGAAGAGTTTCGTCCCATCAACATGTTGCACACATTAGAGAAAATTTTAGAACTAGTTGTAAAAGGCCAGCTGTTGGAGTATTTAAATAGTAATAGTTTGTTGATACCAGAACAATCGGGATATTGGGAAGGTCATTCTTGTGAAACTGCATTGAATTTGGTGTTAGCAAAAGGGAAAGACAACTTGGAGCGTAAAGATACGATTGTTGCTGTTTTTTAGGATCTGAAACGCGCTTTTGAAACAATTTCTAGGCCCTTATTGTTGAGATGAATCAAGCGCTTTGGAATTACGAGTACTGCATATAAATGGTTTGAAAGCTATTTGAATGATAGAACTCAACGGACTGTTTTTAATGATTCTGTTTTCAGTCCCGTGGGGAATAACCTTGGAGTGCCCCAGGGAAGTGTATTAGAGCCCCTGTTATCTATTATGTATATTAATGACTTGCGACGTGTTTTATGATTTTGCGACATTAATCTTTTTGCAGATGATACTGTGTTATTCATTGCAGCTAAGGATTTAGATGATGCCGTTTTACACTTGAATGAAGATTTGCGTTCTCTAAGTAAATGGTTGAAGTATAATTAACTGCTTATTAATTTTATAAATTGAATACAAGTAAAACTAAATTTATGGTAATTTCGCGGAATCGAGTAAATGAGAACGTCTCTGTTGTAATTGATGATGAGACTATTGATCGCGTTCGGGATATTAAATATCTTGGCGGGATTATTGATGACACACTTAAGTTCAACTCTCACATTGACAATATCATCAAGAAAATTGCCAAGAAGTATGGAATTCTATGTCGACTGTAAAACGATTTGACTATTGCCAGTAAAATACAGCTATACAAATCAATCATCTCTCCTCATCTTGATTTTTGCCCTTTCATTTTATTTCTGTCTAATGCAACACAAATATCGTGATTATAGCGCTTGCAGAATAAAATAATGCGTTTAATTTTGAGATGTAATAGATTCACTTCCTCAACTTTGATGCTAGACGCCTTACAATGGTTGTCGGTGAAGCAAAGAATTGTATATTTGACTATGGTGGCCATTTTTAAAGTAGTTAACGGTTTGCTGCCTCGATATTTGTGTGATCGAATTGAAAGAGGAAGTGACTTTCATAAAAATAATACTAGAAACGCGGTTGAAATAAGAACACCACGTTTTTTGACTTGTGCTTCACAAAATTCATTATATTATAAAGGAATAAATGTTTTCAAACGTTCAGCAACACTTACAAAATTTAAAAGACACTGTATTTCACACGTTAAAACTGTCTTTTGAACAGTTATCCAGTGTTTTTTCTTATGAATTGACAAATTATGTATCTTGACAAAGTTATCTCTAACGGATTATTTTATATGGATAGCTGTCATAACGACTTTTTAATAATTATTGTAGCACTGCACAAACTATTTCTGTTCACCACGAGGGTGATGATGGATTTTTAATATTTGATTTTATAGTAGATTAATTAAAAAAAAGGTAGTCTACAAAGGTTTGAGCCTTGCGCGCGTATTACGGATATAGAGGACTAGCTCGCACCACACAGATATTCGACATACATATATACATGTCCTTTGCTTGGGATTCGAACCATGTACCTTCCGATCACCAGCCTTGTCTTGCCATCAGCTCCTTCAAGGTCCGGTGGGAATCATTAAATAATTCATCGTTGATTTGCATAAGCTTGAAACTAATTCTACCTCTTCACCTCTCCAATTTCCAAGGAAAGGATGCTGGGTTATTTATTAAACTAAATCAATGAATTCGTTGTCGTGAGTGATGATGAATTGATCATCTCTCTTTACCAAACTCCCCCGTTGGAGAGGGATCAGATAAACAACTTGAGTGCGGTAAAAATCGATAGAACTGTTCCAAACACATCGTCGATACATGAGCGAGTCGGCGATCTTCTCTTTTTGTCAGTGGGGGAATACCCCTCACCATCCCTCTCCAACGGGGAGTTTGGTAAAGAGAGATGATCAAACCGATTTGTACCTTCCTAATAAGTTGTCCTTGCTCGCTTTCTACTCTCTATATACAATTTTCACGCTGCCGTACTCTAACGGAACTATCAACACTTTTTTTTTATTTCTTTATTAAAGAGACTTTCAGCCGTAGGCTGGTTCGTCTCTGAAAAATAATATATGAAAATACAGTTAATTCAAATAATATTTTTTTCACTTTCTTCCTAGCTGCTTATTTTTGCTCCTCGTCTTGACTGGTGAGTCCGGAACTGACAATTCGTCTTCTTTATCTTCCATCGAATTTTCATTTCCTGCTGATTCATTATTCTGGCAACCCTGGTTCATAACATATCGTTTCGCATTGTTGTGTTTTTGTTTCGTTGACAGCCTTCGTTTGTTGGTGACGGTTAGAAATTCATCCGATTCACTATCCGTTGATTCTTGTGCGCTATTGTTTCCATCGGAGTGTTGGAGCTGGGTGTTTTTGCTGGTTTCACCTATTGTAGATTGGGTTTGATTGGTATCCAGTAATGTTTGTTCGCTGTTTTCATCGTTTGTGACCTTTTCTGCGTCTGTAGGGTCATTGCGGTCATTGACAGTAATGAGTGATGTAGAGCTATTGCACTTTTGTCGGGGATGAGCCTTTTGTCCACAGAACATGCAGGTTTTGCTTGATTGCGATATGTAATCAATGTTGTCTCACCGTCGATCATCAGATAGGAAGGGATGAGTTGTTTGATCTTCATCCGTACTACACGTACTCCATTGTGGATGCCGGAACAATAATTCTTCCACATTTCTCTGCTGATGGAAAGAATAGTACCGTATGGTCGCATACTTTCTATAATCACCGTGCTAGGTGTTTTCGGAGGGAGATCATGGATTCTCACGTTAACGGTTTCGTCTTCCACGAACACTGGAATTTTGTAAGCTTTTTTCTCACACTGCATAGTATGTTTTAGATGGTGTGATGCAAAGTAGCGCTTCTCTGTTGCTGCATCTATCATCTCGACGTGGACACAGTTTCTAACATTGTGAAACTGTAAAACATCCCTATCATCACTTCTGATGTTTGGAGTTCTTTCTTTTCTTTGTTTTTTTTACAACGACATTAGTAAGCTCCTTTTTGAATGTTATATTAACACATTACATTAGTATTTCTCGGCTTACATATTAACACATTATTTCTTAGCCTGACACCACTTTACGACATGTACTTCAGTAAGTACACTTAACTCACTGATTACTAAAACTGAACTTCCCTTTAGCAAAAATGAATTGAACTATTTATATTTTTAAACTCTACACATAATTATTAACTCTACAAGATATCTAGATCAGTGTGGTATATAAGGTCAACCAATCAGTGCGAAGCACATAGGTTGAGCCATCTGCTAAATCTGCATAATGTCTAGGGCAAAGTCCCATCATAACAAGGTCAGTGGAAAGGGAAAAGAATTGCTGTGTGGGCATGTCCCACTTATAGTTTAATACTCTGTGAAAAGAATTGGGTCAAGCAGTTGCGAAGTGACATTGCGCAATGCTTGTAATCTGATATCTGTGTTTTGATGATGTTGCGTTAAGCGCCTGGGTAAAAGTGTCGAATTGCAATGTTGTGCCACTTGAAGAGTGCAACGCACTTGAAGTGTAAATAATTATTTGGGGTTAAACGGCCTCTTCTGATAATTTGTAATTCCTATTACAACTGGATGTTTAAGGCGTCCGCTATGTCCAGTTTCAACTCACCGTACATGAATTTCTGTACGGCAGATGCATCTGGTCGCTTCGGCAGCACACTAAAGTCTACTACCAAGGTGTTCTCCCGTTTAGCACCCATATGATGAAAAAAAACTCATTAGCTTGTAACCTGATAACGAGATGGATAAAAGAAACACGTCTTTCACGCACAGGGCTTAGCTGTCAACTGACTATCAACACTATACTTTCATCTCCTCATCTATCGTATAAAAATTACCACTTTAGTCTGTTATTTGAAATTAGCATCTTCAACTAAGTAAATCGTTGACTTCACGCAGAAGCAATGCAAAAACATATAATTTGTAAGAAAGTTTGAACATAATGAGTGGTTAGCACATAGGTAAGAGAAGTGTGTCGCTAAACCGCTAAACCGTAAAACAAAAACATATAGTTAAAAAAGGGTTGAGCTTGGGATTGAACTCACGACCTTCTACTTGAAAAGCAGAAACGGTAACCACTATTCTACTGATTTCGTCTTGTTGCTAGGCTGAACCAGTGTTGTGGAATAAGTAATCTAATATGTCGTTTATAAAGCATTAACAAAGCATGTGATTAAAACATTTCCCGGACCGGTCGAGGGAATCTTTCGGGTTGGAAATTTTCTCGACTTCCCTAGGCATTGAGTATCATTGTGCTTTTTTTTTTTCCTTTGGTTTGTTTTTCCGTCGATCTTGTTTTCCGTACTGAGCACCAATGCTACCGACGTGCCAGGAAGGCAGCTCCCATACCTGGACCCTACCTATCGACCCATGCTTGCCACACAATATACAAATTCATGCATTGGTATTGGCATCGAAAGCTCTCAATTAATAACTGTGGAAGTGCATTTAGAACACTAAGTTGAGAGCACACAATAAGCTAATATGCACTAAGCAATAAGCTTGAAATGCAAATAAGAAGAAGAAGAAGCGATTTAAACATGGACGCATAGTGGTCTAAGAGCTATTATTCTGACTGTGTGCACCTTTATTCAGCATGTTATTAAATCAATTGAAAACAGTCGAATTAAATCGTCAATGTATGAGCAAATTTCACTTATTCATATTGTTATTAGATCAAACTTCTCGTGTTGAATTAGGAAGACAGTCAAAGTTTGTAAAGCTTTTAATAAGTCAATTAATCAGATCAGAGCAAACAGCGCGTAATTCGACAACCCATTTTATTCAGCATTGTACAAAGCTATACAGCATTTATTCAATATACAGGGTGTTTGGTTCCGGGTTTTACATATTTTCAGGGTAGATAGAGCTCCTAAAGTTATGAAAAAATCCCCATGAAACATAGGGTCGGAAATGACTGCTAAGTGAGTTATTCAACATTTTATGTTTTTTTGTATTGCCAACTTTGGTAATGTTAATTTAGTTGTTTTACAAAACATTCTCCATGCAGTTCCCTAGATTTGTGCCTTTGGTAGTAACTTACTTACTTACTTACTTAAGGGTCCTGTGCACCACCAGCGGTGCAAAGGACAACATGAAAGACTTCCATCCTGGGCGGCTGCTCGCTTTTGCTTTGACCTGGGCCCAGATTCCTATCGACTTGCTTGATTTCCTTATTGAGGCTCTGCCGCCATGAGCCCCTAGGTCTGCCTCTGCTGCGATGTCCTGCCGGATTCCAATCCAGCGCTTGCTTGCAGATTTCGTTTCCGCCCCGTCGAAGTGTGTGGCCGACCCACCTCCACTTTCGCTCTCGAATTTCTGTTGTTATCGGCTTCTGATGACATCGACGATGGAGCTCGGCATTCTAGATCCAGTTGTGAGGCCACCAGGCACGAATTATATACTGCAGGCATCGGTTGATGAAGACCTGCAGCTTTTGAGTGTTCTCCACTGATACACACCACGTCTCGCTGGCGTATAACAACACAGATTTCACATTCGAGTTTAAAATTCGGATTTTGGTGCGTTGACTTATCTGGTTGGATCTCCATACGTTTCGTAAACTCGCAAAGGCAGCCCTAGCCTTCTTGATTCGTGCACCTATGTCGCTCTTGGTCCCGCCGTCCGACGCTATTTGGCTGCCAAGATATTGGAAACTTTCGACCTTCTACACTGCTTGCCCCGCTACCGTAAAGTTGGAAGGGTTGCCCGTGTTGATATCCAACGATTTGGTCTTGTTGACGTTGATGGTGAGACCCGCCGCAGAGGAGCGTTCGGCTAGGTCATTGAGCTTACTCTGCATATCAGAGCGCCGTTGTGCTAGTAGAGCAACATCATCAGCCAAATCGAAGTCGTTGAGATGCTCCATGGTGATAGACTGCCAAAGCAGCCCACGGTTCGGTACACGGTCAATTGCACCTACCATGATCTTGTCGATTACGATGAGAAACAGTAGCGGTGATAGTATACATCCTTGTCTCACACCAGCGACTACCCGGATAGGGTCGGACAAGGCTCCGTTATGCAGAACTCTGCACGTGAAAGCCTCATACTGCGCTTCGATGAGGTTGACGATTTTATCCGGGACTCCCTTGCGTCTCAGGGCACCCCACAGATTCTCGTGATTGAGACGGTCTAAAGCTTTTTCGTAGTCAATGAACACCAAATAAAGGGACTCTTGGAATTCATTGGCCTGCTCCAGGATGATGCGGAGCGTGACAATATGGTCCACACAAGATCTTCCGGCACGGAATCCTGCCTGCTGCCTTCGGAGAGTCGCGTCGATCTTCTCCTGTATCCGATTCAGGATAACTTTGCACAGAACTTTGAGAACAATACACAGTAACATGATGCCTCGCCAATTGTCGCACACAGTCAGATCCCCCTTCTTTGGGACCTTCACTAAAAAGTCGCGGTGTCCCAGATATTACAGAATAGTTGATGCAACATTTGTGCGGATAGCATGGGGTCAGCTTTGAGCATCTCTGCTGATATGCGATCGACCCCTGGAGCCTTGTTGGATTTCATGCTTCGGCTAGCTGCTTCAATCTCCTGCAGTGATGGGGCCTCGGAATTGACGCGAGTGATGCGCCGCCACCTAGGCGGATCATGCCGAGATGTTGATGGCTGGTTGTCCGTCGAAACTTGAAGAAGTTGTTCGAAGTGCTCAAACCAGCGTTTCAGCTGGTCAGTGGGGTCGGTAAGCAATTGTCCAGTCGTGTCCTTCACTGGCATCTTCGGGTTCATCCTTGCTCCACTCAGGCGTCGTGAGAAATCGTAGAGGAGGCGTATATCGCTTTCTCCCCTTCGTCGGCCAGGGAGTTCACCCACGCTCGCTTGTCCCGTCTGCAAGAGCGCTTGACTTCCTGCTCTAGAGCCGAGTACCGTTGACGGGCTTCGTTCTTGGCTCCTCTGGTTCTCGCCCGCTCTATCGCGGCTTTTGCTTCTCTACGCTCCTCAATCTTCCGCCAGGTTTTATCTGTGATCCACTCTTTCCTCTGGGTGCGCAGCTCACCCAAGTTGTTCTCGCTTGTTTCTATAAAGGCATTCTTGATGGCCGTCCATTGATCTTCTACGCTGCCACCTTCTGGAACGTCCGCAGCTCGAGTCTCAAGTTCTTCAACAAAAGACCTTTTTACCGCTGGATCTTCAAGTCGGCGTGTGTTGAACCGCCGCCCGAGTCTCTCCTTCCGTCGCTGGATCCGCGAATTGCGTAGGCGGATTTCACCGATTTGAAGGTGATGGTCAGACGCAATGTCGCCGCTGCGTTTATTCCGGACATCAAGAAGGCTCCGTCTCCATTTTTGGCTGATGCAGATGTGGTCGATCTGATTTTCGGTATTTCCATCACGGGAAACCCAAGTGACTTTGTGCACTGGCCGATGGGGGAAGAGCGAACCCCCGATCACCATGTCGTTATTGCCACAAAATTCTGCAAACAGCTCACCGTTCTCGCTCATTTCGCCGAGACCATGGCGTCCCATGACACGCTCATAGTCCGTGTTGTCGGAGCCGATCTTCGCATTGAAGTCGCCAGTGTAGATCTTGATGTCACCCTTTGGAACCTTATCCACGACGGCATTCAGTTGACTTTAAAAATTCTCCTTGTCCTGTAGCTCGGCAGCATCGGTTGGCGCATAACATTGGATTATGGTAAGGTTAGGAAACCGTGTTCTAAATCTGGCAACGATTATCCTCTCATTAACAGGCTCCCACTTGATGAGCGCAGCACTTGCCTGGACGCTAAGTAGGAGACCAACTCCACGATGGCGGGGAGCGTTTTCACCTCGAATACCAGAGTATAGTAGTACCTGTCCCGACGGCAGTTTGTGTTCTCCAAAGTTTGGCCAACGAACTTCACTCAGTGCCAGGATTTCTAGTTTCATGCGTCGCGCCTTGTTGGCGAGTTGTGCCAGTTTACCCTGCTGGGCTAACGTCAATACATTCCATGATCCAATTCGTGTCCGTTGTTTTGCGCTAAAAGTCGTTGCCGTTAAATCAGTTCGATGTCTTTCTCTGTTGGTTTCTGTAACAATTGTAAAGGTTTCAGAGACAGTAGGTGGTTGGCCTAAGGTCTCCTATCCGCCGTGATGGGGCTGCCATCTTAGGTGTAGCTTCCGGGGAAGAGCATTTCTTATTCAGCCGCTGGATGCCAATCAGAGGCTGTTTGAGCCGCACCTCCATGGTGAACAGACGCTCGGGTTGGCGAAACATTTCCTCTATCACCGTGCTATGGTTACCGCGCCAGTGTTCGCGTCGCACCTCCTCACTCTGCTATTGTCGGATTTACAACATTGCCCAGGCTACGCCAACCAGCTGTGTCCATGTTTCAGCTGGCAGTCTTTTGTGATCATATGACTCGTGGAGGCGTGAGATAGGAACTTGTGAGGACCGGAGCTAGGTATATCACTCCCTCCAGATTGTCACTCACCGTTTTGTAGCCCAGGGACGTTGAGAAAATTTCCAACCTGGGAATGGAACATACTGAGTTCTTAAGGTGATACGATTCAGCGTCCACAAATCATACGCACTTTCACTGCCACTTCGAGTTTTATAGGGAGTTAATCTCGGGCACTATTGCGATTTGAGGCACTAAATTGTCATCACAGTTTTGTTATTGTATGTTTTCCGGTAGCAGATAATAGACTCCTGGAAAAAGCGAAGTGGAACCAGAGCCGAGGTTCTGGATCGTATCACCCTA